CTAGGCAAGGGTGGGGAGGAGAGCATGAATCCCCATCCTGAGTTAACCTGGCGTTTTTTCCTATCCCGATTTGACCCTCTTACAGGGGCAGGAAAATGCAGGGAGTCCCTCCCATCCTTGAACTGCAGCTCTGATCATTCAGTTTCCAGGGGACAGGATTTCCCTTGTTACCATGGAAAATACCGATATGCAGCCCTGAGCAATCCAATCTAGGATTGCTGTTGGCTCTGCTGTGAGGAGGTTTTGGCTGGACACTTACAAAAGGTCCCTTCCAGCTTGATTTACTCTGTGACAGGAAAACAGGGTTTCTGTTAGCAGAAACTGCTGGGGTTTGGGTAAACTTTCTGCCTCCTTTGCCCTTCTCCCTGGTCAATCCAGAATATTTTAATCAAAAGATAAGTTGTCCATTTCTGCTAAACTACTGATCTTTCCTTGAAGATGTCTCTAGTCTTTTCCCTCTCCATACACTGTGACAGAGGAAACCACAGGGGCTCTAGGGCCACACCCATGCTTCTGCATGGAAGATGTTTTCCAAGGTGCAACAACTTCAGTTTCTCTTGCCCTGAGCTGCAGGCACCTGTTTTCTGCTTCAAAGCGGCAAAAATGCCAAGAAGCTGGTCTTCTGTGCAGGGTAATCAAGTGAGAAAGGTTGGGCGGACAGCAACAGGAAGAATTGTTTCCCTGGAAATTCTCTATAAAACTCTTCCCAGAAGTTGCAAAGTGTAGAGGAAATGCAAACATCCCATGATATTGTTTGAAAGTAAAATTTAGATTTTAAAAGACAACATTTTCCATGTTACATTTGGGTTTTTCAATTGTTATGTATTGTTGATCTGTTTTAAGCTGTGAAGAGTTGCTTTTCGGTGAATAGACTTGGAAATCATTCCTTCCCTCATTGCATCTCATATGAAATTTGGGCAAAGACATAATGAAACCAGTGGAATTCAAGTGATCAAGATTTAACTTGTCCTAGGCTAAACTGTTCATTTATTTCTTCTCTTATAGCTGCTCAGACTGTTTGTGGGCACTTTTGCTGGGCTGGGGACCCTGTGGCTGGACTTGAGTCTGACATTGTAGCATCGGGACTCAATTACAGGTCCTGCTTGCCAGGTAATCACAGCAAGAATGGTGCTTGAAGACTGCCCTTCTCTGGGCTTGGCTTTCCAGGGAAATAGCCCAAAACAAGATTTGTAAGTACACATGACAGATCCATTAGTCTGTAGCATAGAGTCAAGATAAGGTCAGGTCTAGATCTATGGCTCTATGAGCCAGTTGTAAAAACCCAGTCAGTTAAACTGTTTGCTGTAATGGTCTGGGTTACTGGGCAGAGAATTATTCTGAAACCAAATATTGCTTTATGCATTGAAAAGTCACTTCAGCTGCCCAGGTAAATTGTTTTATGATACTGTAATCCCTACCCACTTCTAGGTGCTTGGGACCTGCTTTTTTTTGTGGCTGAATTGTTCTGAGTTGGATCTTACCTAAAAATACAATTAATACAGTTTTCAGAAAATGAGAACAAAATCAACTCCTCCATGCAGGGACAGAATGAGATTGTATTTGGCCATGAGTCACATTAGCTCTGGTATTCCCTGACTTTAGAAGACTTCCTGGGGTGGTGACATGCAGAGATGCTATTAAATAAGCAAAACAAAAAGGACTAAGCGTGTAATCAGTTTTGGTAGAAAAGATCTAACCCAGGAACAGGGGAAGCTCTGTAATTGCTAGAACTAAAGCGTTGGTGGGAGTGCCCATCTATGGGAATTACACACTCGTCTGCCATTTGATCTCATGTAACTCAGTTTCCTTTAGTGTTGAGATGTGCTCCTGATGCTTATGTGCTCCTTGGACCCACAGCCCAACTCCAGGGGTTGCTTCTGGCCTCTCTGGACCAAGCGCAGGAACAGTCCTCCCTCCTGAGATTGTACTTTTGCAGCTCCTGGGAAAAGCCTCTTTGAGGGTAGAAATGGTGGCGGTGGGCTTTGTTCCACTTGGCAATGGTGGCCCCTGGCTGGGGATAATTTTGCTACTGTAAAATCAATGTTCTCGATTCCTTGTCATTTTGAAGGAAGGCTGCATCTTCCAGTGGTTGCCAGCTCATGGACTTCCTCTAAGGGTGTGCCACAAATTGGCAAGCCCTGGCTGCATCTGCTGGAGGGAAAGACCCAGCTCTGTCTGGGGAGGAGCTGCTCGACAGGTTTCTGGGCCTGGGCTGCTCCTCAAGGTGCAGCAGGATGGCAGCTTGCAGTTCCCTGGGCTGCCACAAACCCTCCAAGCTGGTGGAACCCTGCCCCAGGCACCTCCTGTCCTCCACCAAGGGCTTTTGGGTGGTGTGTTTCTCTGCTGGGGAGTATTTTGCCCTGCCTGTTTCCTTGCAGTGTCACATTTTTTTGTCCCTCTGGGGAGTTTTGAGATAAAACTCCCACACCTGGTTATTCCAGAGCTGAGTTGGGGCTGGCCACCATAGGCTTGAGGCAGCAGGGCAATGCAGGGTTCCCGCTGTGACTGCCTCTCTCCCACAGGCTGCCAGAGCTGCAGGATGACTCTTTTTGATGGCGTCTATCCCTTCTACCTGCAGCAGAGGAAGGTCTTTGTGTTCGACATCAGCACCATCATAGTGATCATGGTCTTCCTAACGCTCGCTTGCAGCTTCCTGCTCATCATCCCGGGCATCCGTGGACGGGCAGTGCGTGACCCCTCTCCCTGGCAATAAGCACCTTCTCCCCACATTTTGGATGCTGGCACACTCCCAGCTGGTTTGGGGTGAGGTGGGAGGACAGCCAGGGCTGTTTCTCCCTGCCTGATGTCCCACCTCTCTCCCTGCAGAGGCTGTACTGGACACTCCGGGTTCTCCTCAGCCTTATTGTAGGAGTGGTGATCATTGGTAAGTGCTGCACAGCCCTTGGAGGGTGGGTCTTGGGGCAGGGTCTGTGTCTGGGAAATGAGAGCTGGTGGTCACAGCTATGGCCTGGCCGAAGCTGGCTGCAGGGTCTGCCCCACCCCTGCTCTGCAACGCAGTCACACAGCTTCCCAAAAGGGCTTCCCCATCCCTGGTGTGGGGGCTGAGAGCACCTGGAGGTGCCTGTGGTCACTTCTGAATAGAGAGGGAGCTTTGCTAGCTGTAACTGCACCACAGAGGTTGAACAGCCCCAGCTCCGGTAGGCTGCACAGCCCCATGTTCCCCCAGCTGTGCAAGCCCTCCTGAGCTGCCTGCTGCTGAGGGAGCACAGCTGAGCAGCTCAGACTGTGGCCAGGCACGTTTGGAGGACGAGAGGAGCATTGCAGTAAAGTGGAGAGAGCAAGTCGAAATAAAACACAGGCAGGGCAGAAGTGTGTGTGCAGGGTAAAGACCTTCCAAGGAGCAAGGCAGGAGGAGATGAAGGAGAGGATTTGATTTAGTAGAAACCAGGAAATCTTCTGTAATAAATGGGACTGCTGGTGGAAACCAGGCCGTGGGATTTCCAACTCAGGGTGACAGGATGTGTAAGCGAAAGATGTGCTGAGGGGATAGAAGATGCCAGATGAGGAGAGCAACCAGCCTGAAACCTAAATCAAAGAAACTCTCCTGCTGCAAAGTACAGGGTGGATTACAAGACTGCTTTGGGAGGGATGATGAAGCACAACCTAAATGACTCAACCCCTGATTCAACCAGGCAATATCCAGGCTGTTACCAGCCATGGGACTCTGCTGGCTGACACATGGGCCAGTGGTCACCCTCTGTCTGGGGATGCCCAGGTGCTGGGAGTTGCCACCAGAGCTGCCTGGGAACATGGTGCCAGGATGGAGATGGGAGAGGGATGGAGGTCAGCCTTAACCAGCTCAGCCCTGGAGAGCCATCCAGAGCTGCTCTCCTTACAAGGATGCAGCCAGGCGCTGCTTGGGCGCACAGGAGGAATTAATTGTTTTAAAGTCAGCATCAGGGTTTCTGTCTGGTGGCAGCAGGGCACACTTGACCCTGCAGCGAGAAAACATTCCTGCAGAGCTGCTACTGGATCAGTGCCCTCACAAGTTGATTCAGCAGCTGAACTTATTTTCAGGCAGGTTTAAAAGGTCTTGTTCAGCCTGAGATTAAATCATCACCACCTCTTTCAGCTCATCTTAGTGCTGGAAAATTAAGCCCACCGCAAAGTGGAAGTGTTTCAGAAGAGGATACTTTGTTTCAAAAAACATATACCAGAAATGTTTCAAATTCCCCCCCAGCTGAAATGGCTGGCAGAGCTGTGATGGTACTTGCCACCCCTCTCCACTGCCTCTGTTTGACAGTGATCTTCACTATTCACTAATAGTGCAATCTAGGGAGCTTAATATTTGGCAATGAAACTCACCCCTGTTACTGAGGCTGAGGAATGGGCTCATTTCCGAGCCCTGTCCCTGGGGGCTGTGGTGCTTGCTGTGGTGGGGAGCTTGCAGGGAAGTCCTGGAGAGGATGTCCAAGGAGGTATCAGGTCATGGGGTTTGCCCCTGGGGATCTGAGCTCCCCTGCTCCTGGATCAAGGGAGCGGATGATCAGTGAGGGGAGGACATGAGCTCTGCCAGGGTGTGGGAGCTGGTTGAGGCATGCCTGGTGGCTGAGTCAGCTCTCCTGCCCTCCTTATACTCCCTTGCTGTGCCATGGTGGGAATGCTGCTGTTTGTACTTGCCTGTGATCCCCCTTGAGCACAGCAAAGCCTAACAGTGGCCCCTCTTTAACCCCAGCTTTACTTTTCCTGGCAGCTGTCCAGTTCACAGGGGACTGGGAGACTGGCTGGGTGAAGGCAAACACCTCCTACAAGTCCTTCAGCCATGCCCTGGTAAAAGTGGACATCGGGCTGCATGTCGGCCTGGTGGGGGTGAATGTCACGCTCATTGGTGAGTCTGATGTCCCTGTCTGCAGCTCAGGAGCAGCCATGGCCCCAGGAGGTCTCCAAGTGCTCTGTGGGTGGCCTTGGTCTGCGTGGAGGCTCCTGGGACCCTGCTGTCCCTGGGGTGCCCGTGCTCCTGGCTGGCAGTGCCCAGGCTGCTGGGACACAGCAGGACCTCAGCCTTCTCCCTCTGGCAGGAAACCCAGTGAATCAGGTCAACGAGACCATCAACTACAATGAACACTTTGCCTGGAGCTTCAGCGCAGATTATGACCACAGCTACAGCGAAGGGCTGGAGAGGGGGCTGCCCAGCCCCATCCTCTATGTGGCGGAGAAATTCACCATGCAAAGCCCCTGTGGCATGCACAGGCAGTACCGCATTTCCAGCCACTACGCATCAGCCACTCTCTGGTGAGTCTTTCTCTCCTGGTGCAGGCAGGGGAGATGCAAGGACACGGGAAAGGCTCTGCTTCCCTTCCCAGGAGGAAAGCCATGTGTGTGGAGGGGCCGCTGCAAGGTCTGTGGTCAAACTTGTGGCCCTGTAGGCAGCTTGGGGTGAGTGGATAAGAGGGATGGTCCTGGTTCTCTCTGCTGGTCAGCTTCACCAGGGCTCAGCACAGGAGAGAGGAACGTGGTACAGATCCCCACCATGATGTGGTGATGATGGCAGGGGTCCATCCCCATGGAGGGAATTGGAGCTGCTGCCCTCAGTGGCCCAGAGAGGCCCATGGGCATGTGCAGAATTCTCCCATCCCCATCTGTGATTGTATTTAATGTTTGGGAGTGGGACCAGATGAGGAGAAGCTGATGCTGCTGTTATTGTGGGGTCGATCTCAACTCTTTAGTTGGATCTGCTGGGCAGTGACATGTTACTGCTCCTCTGGGCTGAGGGAGAGCTGGCCCATGGCTGTCAGGAGATGCACCCCTCTACCATGGGTTGTGGAGGGCAAGGACCATTGCAGTGCTCTTCCTCCTGCACTGGGTTTGAAAGCAGGGATGCAGAAGCCAGGAGAGGGGCCTGGTGGTACCATGGAGCAAGAACTCCTGGTCCATAGCTGAAAGCTTCCCCTGTCACCCAGCTTCTGAGACAAGTTCAGGGCTGCCACAAATGACTTATGCCTGCTTCTGCAATTATCCCGGTCCTGTGTGCTGCTCTTTTGGGTCTGCACTGCCCCACACATGGAAGGGCAGGGAGCTGAGATATCTAGATACAGTGAGTGGGCTGCCATCGCCTCCTTGAGGCTGATATAGTCAGTGGGCTGAGCAATGGGAAGAAGAAATCCCAGCTTCTGCCTTCTGGATGTAGCAGTGTGAGCATTGCACATCTGCTTGCTCAGCCTGGGAGGCCAGAGGACACTCCAGCCTGCCCACAGAGCTTCTTGGCCTCATACAATGCAACCTGGACCCCAGATTCCTCCTCCCACATGGAAATCCTCATGTAGAGCATCCTAGATTGTGGCACTTGCACAACTCATCTGTTGGTCTTCTTTTGTCTCCAGGGTGGCCTTTTGCACTTGGCTCATCTCCAACATGCTCTTCTCCATGCCTGTCCTAGTCTATGGAGGCTACATGCTGCTGGTCACAGGGACCTTCATGATCTTTTCATTGCTCTCGTTCTCCACTGTGAGGAACTCCCTGGTGTGCCCAATCCAGTTTGGGACCACAATCCTGCACACAGGCTATGGTGGATCTTTCTGGCTCACACTAGTGATTGGTAAGGACATGAAGCTACATCAGGGCACGCCACCTTGTCCCTCTGGGTGTGCAGGAGTCCCAGTGCTTTCCCTCCAGAAGTGCAGGTGAGAGAATTTGGGGAGTGCAGCCCACCAGAGCCCCAGCCTGTGCCTTGGCAAAGAAGATCCTGGCAGAGATGTGGAGAGGGCTGGCAGAAGGGTGATGGAGAGACTTTTTAGTCCCTGAGGTGCAGTAATGCAAGGAGATGGTGATCACTTGCCTGCATTTTAAGACCCATGCCTGGGTTTTAAGATGCTCAGCACAGCAGCTGAAGCCACCTCATACAGTAAAAGGCCATCTTCTGTAAAAGAAAGCATTGTCCTTTGGCAGGGGGCCATCAGAGGAGGGGTCCAGGGTGGGAAGTGTGCTTGTGTTTACAGGAATGCTCTCAGAGCACGTTGTCTTCCAGGCTCGCTCTGTTTTGTGGCTGGGATCACTGTTGTGGCACTGCACTACTTCAACTTGGACCTGCTGAAAATTTTCTTTGATCTCCATGAGGACAAAGCAGAGGAGTACCAGGAGATGACTGAAGTGTATGTCAGCTCTCATTTTGTGAACAAAGGACTGTCTCCTTCTCGGCCCTCCAAACTCAACCCCAACAGCATCTAGAAGAAAGTTTTTCCCACTCCTTCCCTGAAGGTGGGCCTGAAAGGAGCAGAAACCCTTCTTGATGTCCCCAGAGACCCATTTCCCCATCCAACTGCCTTTGAAGAGTGCACAAGTCCATGTTGGGATGGGTACTTGCTGACAAGTACCTTTGCAGACTGTATCTCCCTGACTGTGCCCTCTGGAAAAGGGTAGGCTTTGCAGAGAGCCAGCAGGCTGCAATCGGAGCAGCTCACAGCTCTGGCGACTTGAGCTGCACACTCACCTGGGGATCTCTCTCCCAGGAGAAATGCCCTTCCTGCTCCATGCCCTGGCACAGCTTGGTGCAGTGAGTCTCTGATGGCCAGTTCCCACACCAGAAACTGAGCTCACTGGTGAGATTTCTCATGGGGAGCACCTGTGACTCCAAAAGCTGGTGATTAAATCTGCTTATTTAACACCAAGGGCTGATGTTTAGTGTAGACCTTTAAGTGTACCTAGAAAAGCCAGGCATAGACCCAAACTCTATCAGGCTGCATGCTGCATGAACTACAGTAATAAAGCTGCTCCAGAAATAAAGACTGAGTAAACATGCAATGGAGCTTGCTGGGGGTGAATGTGGTGATGTGATTGTTTTCACTTCCAAACTTGGGCTTTATTAGATAAGACTTGTAGCCTAGCATGGGCCAAAAAGATGCCATAGGAAAGGAAGGAGAGGGAAGAATGAAGTTACCCCCACCCAGCTGGAACACACTTGAGCTGGCTGGGCTTACCATGAAATGCAAGCCTAGGGCCAGGAGTCAGACCCAGCCAAGGTGAGAAATGAAGTGCATCAAGTTGCTTTATTACAAACAGAAGATGGGCTCTGGCACCAAACCCAACAGCCTGATGAAGTCTCCACAGGCTGGCACAAGAAGATTGTCATATCTAAATGCTGGAGGCCTGGGCAGCTTCAGTCCAATTAGTTGTAAAGGACATTTCAGTATTTTGGCTCTTTTCTTTCTGAGAAAAAACCCTCGCTGTTAAGTTACTTATTTCTTTCACATGATATTTGTGTTGCACTGATGTGATTTGTTATGGGAAAGAATTATTATTTTCAATAAAACTTTATTAAAAACCCGCTCCTTTGAAACACTTTGGGCATTCTGGGGGGCTGGTTTCTTAAGTGGGGACTGTGAGACTTATTTGGAGGTGACTGCTTGCGAGCCCCCAGAAGATGCATCCTTCCCATGAGGGAAGCTGCCCTGGCAGAGGTGCCTCCAAGGAAGGACAAGGCTTGTTGGCATGTGTCAAAGAGCCCCTGAGAAATCCTTGTCATGGGGAGCAGCATCCTGTAGGGTGGTAGGACAGCTTCAAAATTACTTTAACTAGCCAAGTGGCAGGACAAAAGCCATAAAATTAAACCAATAAAACTCCCCCAGGATCCTTTCTTGAGTCTTCTTGTGTCCAGACACGTCAGGTCAGGAGGCATCGTGGGAAGATGCTACAACCAACCACAAGTTATTTGGGCTGGTGTGGGACAGATCGCATGCCCTGAAAGCACAGGAGGCGGGGGGGTTTCCCATTCTTTCTGCCACTGTATCTGGAAGTCTCCAGTCTCATCTCCTGCTTTGAGGCATGATACATCCTGCAATAGCATCCTCATCAGAAGAAAGGCTTTGGCCTGTTTTATCAGACATACAGGGGCATGAACCCAAATAAACAAACCATAACCAAAATTCGATCTTTTTGAAGCACAGAGGCACCGGATCTCTGTGTGTCTTGCCTACTTCCTAGCGAACACAGGATGGACAGAATATTTGCAGCAGGGCTTGCATGGGGCCAGCTGAGCAGTGGCAATGACATGATGGGGGATGCAGACCCCTTCACACATTGCATCTCATGCAGAACAGCAGATCAGAATAACAGGGGCTGGCTGTGTCATGGGGGCTGGCCACCTGCAAGGAGATTTGCAGGCGGAGGACTTCTCTTGCCACCATAGGGAGGTGCACACATGAGGGTCATTGCTCAGGGATGATTATTTTGCCTCACTACATGTTGTCATAGCAGCTTCTTCACATGCACTATAAGAGCTGTGGCTGTACGGCCCCCGGGTTGTGCTGCTGCAGGTCCTACTTCCTCTGTCCACCATAGCTCCTGGCTCAGTTTCCTGGCTGGACTGAGCCATTGTTGGACAACAAGATGTAAAATAATTGCCATTAAATCCCTGGCTCTCAGCCCAGGCTGCTTCTGCCCCACGCCATCCAAGGAATCTGGCATCTAAACAGAGAGTCAGTGCCAGCAATGGAGCCAACACCATAAGCATCTCAGAGAGCACAGGCTGGGGCTCTACAAGGAACGGGGTCCCCATGCCTAGAGGCACTCATTGCACCAGGGCATGCAGCCACCATGGCCAGCAATGGAGCAAACACCATAAGCATCTCAGAGAGCACAGGCTGGGGCTCTACAAGGAACGGGGTCCCCATGCCTAGAGGCACTCATTGCACCAGGGCATGCAGCCACCATGGCCAGCAGAGCCGCTCATTCCCCTGCCCCCCAGGCTGGGCTGCAAGGGGGAACATGCCAGGGAAAAGCAGAGGTTTATGAGGGCTGAATTTCAATTCAATAAATAAACGGGGTTTGTTGCACCTTCGATCTAGTCCTTAAGGCTGAAGCATCTCCTCGTAGATGCCATTGGTAACATCCTGGCTGAGATCTCCCAAGTCCAAGGAATTCAGCTCCAACCTATTTTTAAATGCCTGTTGGGTCCTCTAGGTCCTCACTGAAGGCTCTTCCATCCAGAGTGGGATGGGGCAGGATGCCATGTCTGAGCACGCCCTCCCCAGAGGGCCTGCCCCATGGTGGTCCCTCTGCTGGCTGGGGATTGCTCCCATCAAACCTTCCACATGCCCAGGGTCACCCCAGGAGCTAAAGTCCTCCCATAATCCCCTCTGCTCATTTGCCTGGGGATGCACACAAGCAAAGCAAAACAAGGAATTCATTCACTACTTCCCATCAGCAGGCAGGTGTTCAGCCATCTCCAGGAAAGCAGGGCTCCATCACGTGTAAGGGTTACTTGGGAAGATAAACACCATAATTCCAAACGCCCCCCCACCTCCTTCTTCTTCCCCCAGCTTTTAATTACTGACCATTCCATATGGTATGGAATATCCCTTTGGTCAGTTGGGGTTGGTTTTCCCAGCTGTGTCCCCTCCCAACTTCTTGTGCACCCCAGCTGGTGGGGTGGGGTGAGAAGCAGAAAAGGTCTTGACTCTGTGTAAGCACTGCTCAGCAGTAAAAAACCCCATCTCTCCATTATCAACACTGTTTTCGGCACAAATCGAAAACATAGCCCCATACTAGCTACTATGAAGAAAATTAACCAGCACACCATGTCACATACCCAGCCTGCCAGCCCTCAGAGGGACGCCTCTATCGACAGACAAGAGAAAGAACAGGTCCAACTTATTTTATTGAGATACAGGGGAAAATAAGTGAGCACAAAACAGAAAAAAAAAAAAAAGTTGCAAAACCTGCACAGAGTTAGAGGGGTGAAAACCTGAAATGTGCTCTCTCCCCTCCCTCCCTGCATGGGCAAGGTACCTGCTAGATGTTGGCAGCTGGGAGTGGGTGGCTACATCCACCCTGGGTGTGCAGGATTTCAGTGTCACGTGCCCCACAACACATGTATTTCCATAGCTGAGCAGGAGGAAACCAAGCCTCACAGACTGAGTGTGATGCTCACCTCTTGCTAATTGATTACAGCCTCTCTCCAGTGCAATTTAGCACCTCCATTCCCACCTCCTCCACTGCTTCCCCCGCACTGAAACATTTTGTCTTCCTTTCAGAGGTCTGCGAGAGCACTGACAACTCACAGGCTGGTGGCTGTGGTTGGGGTATTTATAAGCGCAGTAAGCAGGGGCCAACCAACCGGCTCCCTGACTGTGACGTTTCCAGCACAATGTACAGCCCAGTGCATCTCAGACCCACATGGAACCCTGAGCTGTGGGGTGCCAGGATGGGTCTGAAATCCAGGATGTCTCCAAGGTCTGATACCTCCAATGATCATGGGCCCCCTTGCCAACCTGCTCTTCACCCCTGACCAAGAGGAGGTGCTGGGTACAGGGCACCCTGGTGACCACAGCTCTGCTCACTTTTCCTGACCACTGATGGGAAGAGCATCCCTGGGCAGAGGAGACTTCTCACAGGCCTTCGGGGTGGGAGTGCTTTTGGGGGGTTCTGCTTCTCCTTTGGTTCATATCCATGCTTCTGCATTTATTTGGTTTCTCTCCAGTTTGTTCTGGTTTAGTCTCTGCATCTTAGGGAGGACTCTTAGGGTTTGCTGAGGATGGACTAAGGGGAAGGGCAGTAGCCCAGTGCCTGTAACAGGACAGCCAGGGATAGGGCATGGGTTGTCCTCATCCCAAAAGCTCTTCCAGCTGCTGATGAGTACAACAACAGCAAAAAAATAGAGGGCAAACAATCAAGTTTGAGACACTTTTCCATACCTGGATATTCTTGTCACCCAGCTCTTACCACCTGGGCTCCTGTGAGGGTCAGACCAGAGTGTGAATTCAGGAGGGGTGTCCTCAGGCTTTGCCCTGCCTCCCCCCAGTGCCTTACAGCTGGGTGGCTGTCACCTCACAAAGCTTGCCCAGGGGGACTATCAGCACGTCCTGCACAGAGGAGCTGGGCTCGTCTGGTAGGTAGGACTTGTCCCACACCTTCTCTTCTTCTCCCTTTCCCTCATCCAGGTTAAAGACAAGCTTCAGCTTCTCTGGCTGCATGGAGTTCAGGATGATGATGCCCAGACCCAGCAGTAGGCGCAGCAGCCCTGCAATGCACAGCATGGGGAGACATGTTAGCACCTCCTCCCTGCTGTGTCCCCACCCCATCCAGACCCAGATCTGGGTTTGGAGGCCAACGGCACATGGCATCACCCAGGATGTCAAGGGAAGGTGTTATTTTCCTCTCCACATCTGGACTCTGCCATCAGTTTGGGCTCCCTGCTACAAAAGATAAGTCAATGAACTGGGGCAGATGGC